CCCTACCTAGGGTAGAGGCTGCTTCAAACTTTAAAAATAAGGCTTTATCCCCAAAAGATGACACTCATTCTGCTGCAAAGCCACTTTGTCTGTGATCCCAGTAGTGTCAAATTATATGTGTAGGCATGAAGAAAATACAAAGGAACGAACAAACAGAGCCACTTTGACATGATTATCAGAAAGGAACCACAATGCACACTCAGCTGGGTTGGGCCCTTTCCTTGCCGTTTTCCTATCCTTTTTTCTATTCCTGTGTCCTGACTGACCAAGTGGAATGTGGAAGAAAGTTGGATTTCTTTGCTCATGCTTGGAATCTGCAGCGTGTTTCAAAATTACTGAGTTTAACTGAAATAGAAATGATATAGACATTCCTTCCTTCTGCCCTTTCTTTCCTATGGAAACGAAGAACCCAGCTTTTTCCTAGTTGCCGTTTTTTCCCAGTCCTCTGAGTGTGAAATAATTAAAAAGGCTCTGTAATTTATAGCCACTTGGGGAAGAAGTGAATGAATGTTCTATTTGAATAAATCAAATATTAACTTCTATTTGTAAAACTTTCTGATGGCAATCTGTTTGACCTGAGCAACCAGCTGACATTGCTACTGCTAGAAAAGTCAAATGTTAAAAAAAAAAAAAAAGTTAATATTGGGTTGTTGGAAAAGTCATGACGTATGTTTTCTGTTTTTCATTGCAAAAATGCATCATGACTTTTCTGACAACCCAATAAGAATCACCTGGGATGAAAGCAGATAAAACTAAGAAAACTCTGAATTCGTTTCCAAGTGTTCATAATTTGCTACTGACTTGGAATGGACTTCTGCTTGTAGCATTACTCTTTCTTCTTCTTGAGCCAAGAGTGAGGCACTGGGCTTTCTTAACCCAGTGATGAAAGGGAAAATAATCCGCCAAGCAAGCTTTCTTCCATAGGGTAAAATGGCAGCAGATGAATAATATAATAACACTATGTCATGGGTGATACAAGAATGCTGTGTTGTCACCCCGCCGTGGATCAGCACACTGATTGATTCAAACCAATGGCGACCTCCATGATGGCCATCATACCCCCTCATGATGAAGCCCTCCCAAAAGCGAAGCAGGGACAACTGAAAACTCAACCCTCTTTCTTTCCCCCTCTCCTCCTAAGCCCCCCTTCCTTCTGGCCTGAGGAGGGGCTCTTTTATATGATGCCTCCAAGAGAATATACCTCTTTTATGCCTTTACCAATCTCCTTTCCTAAGCTGATCTGAGACAGAGCAGTGGTGATTAAGCAAGAGGCTTTTTTGATTAGCTGGTTGCTAGAGAGTGGGACAGGAACGGGTAGGGGAGGAGAGAACAAGTGGTACTTTTACTGAGAGCTGTGTTCCTGCTTGGCAGTTTGACAGATAGCAAGTGCATCCTGCCTTCACGGTTGCCCGGGAGGCTTCAGCGTGCAGAAGAGGTTGCCATGTATTGTGCACATCTGGAAAGCTGTCCCTGCCAGCAGGGTGGGGGAGGTTACATTTTTACCTAAGGGAGATGATTTGAAGGCTCTGTTGTCTGGGCACTCAGCCTTTTGTGTTCTGTGCCTTGCATAGGTTGCAAAATGAAACAACAGCTAATGAAGTCCTTGCAAGCATCCAAAACTACTTCAAGTTTCAGCCCTTTGATTTTAGGGGTGCTCAAATCATTTCTGGGCAAGAGGAAGGGATATATGGATGGATTACAGCCAACTATTTAATGGGAAATTTCCTGGAGGTGTGTGAAAACAAATGCATGGTTTTTAATCTTGCTATTTATCCCGTCTCTTGTGGGTGGTAGTTTAAGCAGAGGTGCATGTGAACAGGGGCACCTGTCCTGTGTCATTCCTATGGTGTAACGCATTAGGGAAACACCTATGAGACAATAGCTAAGAAGAGACACGTATAGCTGGGGCAAAACCTTGGATCGTAAACAGGACCGAATGCACAGGGGAGAGGGCCTATCATCACCTTACTGGTTAATAAGATATTGGAGGTTGGGGAGACCAAAATCTAACATTG